ATATGTATAATGTTATCAATATTTGTAAATTATTGTAAATTTTTGTGTATTCAGAAATGAGGATGATAGGGTGTCTGGTGACTTCACAAACCTCCAAAAATTCTTAACTGTCCAAACTAATTTCTTTCTTAACTGAAACCGTCCAATTGACCACACAATGCTTCATTCAGGGCCAAGGCTGAGGGCAGTTTTCTAGCTAAAATTGCAAAAGACCACAGTTTTGGAGCCAAATAGCGTAAACCAATTTGCAACTGATGCAGCCTGAAGACAGCGTAAATCTTAAAAACAACGAGAACTTGATGGAACTAAATGATAAGCCTTTCAAGGCAACTCGCTTGATATTTATTTAAGTTTCCCAAGCACCACATGCATTTAAATTATGCTTCGTGTGAACCGAAACACTTCGTGCCCCAACAGAAGACCGCAAAACGTTTCGGAATATCAACGAAATGACAATGTTTAAGTTGTTCGGTTATTGTTAAGGAAGCCTAACTCTGTCCTGGCATGTTGGCTTCGTCCACCGCAAAACGCAACCCTAATTATGGTGTTTTCGTCAACAGTAACCGTTTTTGATGCAGGATAAGAAGTGTAGATCTGTGAATGGAACGTGGCCTAGCTAAGTAATGATGGTTTGTCAAAGCTGACTACTTGACTCTTTCATGTAAAACTATTTAATTTCTGGTCGACATTATCGGAACCACGATCTACACGCACGGAACCATGTAAGTGAAGTGAAAAGGCGGCGTTTCTATTTCTCTGAAACCAATTTTTTTTTTGTAATTGCCGGAGCGTTTCTCCGGGCGAGAACATTTTTAATTTCAGTCGTTGCTGTCTCCACACGCAAACATTTATGATCAAGTAAATGAAAATATAATTAGAAATTAATTCCGTTAAAGTATTAGCAGTCCAGCAACATAGATGAAACGTAAAAGAATAGAACGAAAATATCAGTAATTTCAAGCGCAAGTACCTAATCATAATTGCTTGTAGTAACTACTTTTGCTAATATTTTATCCATGAAAATACATATTCCGCTTTAGTTCCTTCTTTCTAATCATGCCATGTTTTCGACTACAGTTGGCGATCGCTTCTTTAAACGCGTCCCGGTCTTTTGCGATGTGAAATATTTGGCCCCACTGAGGTTAATCTTGCATCCGATCTTCGTCAACCAAGACTTTTTTTTGCGAACCTTTCTTTTATATTATTTCGTATTTGTCATTACGACTTATTTATCCCAGATCTGCTAGATTTCTTTCTTTGTAAATTCTTAACAGTTTTCAACTATTTCCTATGCGTTTCAATACTTCTCTATTTGTGGTTCCACATTGGATTTTACTGTTTTTAGCAGCTTATTTAGTGCAATTGAAATGTCCTCTCATCTTGATCTCATTGTCAGTGGATGGTTGGATCAAAGTATTTATATTTTATAGTTTTATGTTGTCCAAAAAAGTTTTGGAAATTACTTCGGTTGCTTGGCCAGTCTCCTCTAGTCAGCGCTCTTCAATATCCTTAGTCATGTGCACTCTTTTCATTTGCCAGTATTCTTCTTTGTTTGCATTTTTGTGGACTCTTTTTTCATTTGTATATAATATAAAATCTGGCATTTTCAATCTGTTTTTTTCGACAAATGTTTCATCAGCTTTTGGAAGTGCTCACTTCAATTGGGTCCGGGCGCTGTTAATGTAATTTGTTCTAACTTCATGAAATATTTGTGGAGTAACTTTTCAAAACGCATTATGTCCATCAAACGTTTTTTTTCACAAGCAACAAAAAACGAATATTTTTTGTTCTCGTTCAGTTTAAACCTGCATAGTAAGGTGTATCCATAGATATTGGTCCATACTTCTAATAATAATTCTCATTGAAATCAAAACTATCATAGATTGTAAAAAAAGTCAATAAATAGTTGGGCATAATGCGCTTTGATCCATCATTGTGTATGTAATGCGTTATGTTGTGGCCAATATTGGACATAATGTTCGAAGTTGTACACATGTAATAAAGAATAAAAAAGACAAAACCCAACTGAGCGGCTTTTACATTTACTTTAAAATAAAACACAATATAACCAAGGAACAAAAATTAACTTTAATGAAGACCTAAACACATTGCTTTCAAAACAAAACTCTAAATTATGAATTAAATATGGTCAACTTGGTCTTCCTCTAGACATTCGCAGAAGTTTTCTTCCTCGTTATCGCTCCTTCTAGAATTTGTGGCGCAACATTTAGGTAGTGCATGGTTAAAAAATGTTAAAGATGATAACGGAATATTATCTTCCCAGTGGACCTCAAATCTTGTTTAGAACAATCATTTTTTTTATCTTCTTTGATTAAATTCACAAGTATTACGTCCGATGGCTCTGGTATATTTTTCAGATTCCGACCACGCTTTACTATTGACATAAATATTTTTGATTTATCGTCAAAATAATACGACGGTTCAAGTTTGATTTTTACATAAAAAAATTCATTTTTTCTTACTTTTTGTAAAAATATTCGTCTCATACCGCTTATGCCGTCTATTTTTTTATGTGTTTGACTAAAGTTCTTAAACTGTTGAACTCCTTGATGTTTTTAATCGACCAGTCCTTTCCCAGAATTCTAATGTTTGCCAATTTCTTATAAATTTGAATGTAAGCATTTGAACCCAAGACCTCCTCCACTTTAGGTAGATTTTTTCGACGCGTCCAAAACTCGGTCAGCAGGTAAATAAGAGTGTCCATAACAAGAATGAACACTCTGATCAACATTTTATATCATATCAACAATAAACTATTAACTTATTTATGAAGCTTAACAAAAAGATAAACACGTTAACAGGTGAACTAAACTCGAACGACTAACGACAGAATTTCAAAAATTGAGATATTTGCACGATGTCCAGCGACATTTCCTGATGGCAAAGTATGATAATGCGTTATGATATGACAACTCTTCCGGACATAATCCGTTTCGATGTGAATATCATATTTTGCACTCAAATTAGATAGGGATATAACGCTATTTGGTTTATACTGGGTTTACAGATCCATAGAAGAGGTGGAAATACATCGAAAATCGCAACAAAGCGAATTTTGTCCTCATTTGTAGAATTGCTTCATTTATTTTTTGATAATAGTTTTCAATCTTGACCTTTGATTAGTTGAGTCTTGTATTCAAAACTTGTGCTCAAAAGATCAGTAACGAATTAGGGAAACCAATAACAACTTTTTGATATTGTTTCCATCGTTTTATGTTCCTTTTTATACTTTTTAAAGCCCATATCGACAGTTGTGCAGAAGAAGTCATTATAAAAAGTAGTAAGTAAAGTTTAAGTTTGTATAAAATCGGACAGCAAATTCGATGAAAGCCAATGCTCAGGAATCGCCTTATTAGATTTACTAATTTTTAGTCATGTCAAGCGAAATCAATTCCTAGGAAGCCGTATCATGTGTGAAGTTCAGTAGTTTAAGGCAGTTCCGGTCGTTTTTTTAACAGGATTGCTCGATATAACCGTATTACGACCGGATTACTAATCTGTTTTGCTGTAGAAAATCAAAGTATCAATTACGACAAGGCCACGAATTTGCCCTATAAAATAAACAGTGGTGTAATTGTTGCAGGAGTATGTACGAATGCAACAGCTCCGTCTGTGAGCAGCATCAACCGAATCCTGCGTAACCGAGCTGCAGAACGTGCAGCGGCCGAGTTCGCTCGGGCTGCAGGTTATGGGCTGTACCATCCTCACCCATATGCAGCCGCTGCTGCTTTTCCTTGGCATTCCCCGCTCTGGCCTAATGGTAGGATCATTCCGCTTTGCAACCATCCACTTTACTTGACAGCAAAAATTCTCTTCAGGGGCTTTAGGAATGCAACCCCCAGGCGCGGGAAATCCTACAGTGATGACAGGCAGCCCTTCCTCCAGCAGTTCGCCTCACCACGACCACAACCTGTTGAACTCACCTCCGGGAGGAATGGATAAAGATGACTCTAGCTTAGACAGTTCCGAACAGCCAAAGTTTAGGTAGATAATCCTGCCAATCTAGCGAATAGCCCGGAAAATATGTGATTTGTGATTTTAAGGCGGAATCGAACAACGTTCAGCCCAGATCAGCTGGAGGAGCTGGAGAAGGAGTTTGAAAAGAGTCATTATCCATGCGTTTCAACTAGAGAGCGTCTGGCGTCCAAAACTTCACTCTCAGAAGCCCGAGTTCAGGTAATTAATTCATATTTCATAATACATTTCGAGGGAAGATCAAATTCATGGGTTAAAACTCGAATATTTTGCCGGAAGAAAACGGGGCTCTTAATGAAATGCCTGCATATTATTGATTTAAATTTGCTAACCCAATTAACTGGTAGCATGATCAACAGGATATCGAATATAATCATGCACTGGATTCACTAACTGGCGCTCTATTGACAATTAGTTCCAATGAAAAACAATGGCAGTCAAGCCTTAGAACTCCCTTGATCATCTTGTAAATTAACTCAGCCTAAATCTCATTGTCTGATTAAGTATCTAATCTGATGAGCGACCAGAATATTGTGTTTTTCCGGCAGAAAATCTGTCGCGTCATCTCTGTTCGCTTTTCAAGGTTTAGGGAACATGAATTGTCAAATTTATTCCAATAGCATAAACTCTAGACTAATCTCGACAATTAACGCAGGTTTGGTTTTCCAACAGACGAGCAAAATGGCGACGTCATCAGCGCATGAACCTGCTGAAACAGTCGTCGCCGCCGGGAGGTCCGGGAGGCCACCAAGGGAACGCCTCCTCTTCTCTGTTCGGGACTCGACTCACTCCCTCACCCCATTACAAAGGTTCAGACCGTGGGTCTCCCCTTACTTCTCCCCTAGGGCCCGGGGGTCACAATCAGCTGTTACTTCAAATGGGTGGGGAAAATAGGTAGGTCCAACACCAAACCATTCCGAACT